GAGAGAGAGAGAGAGAGAGAGAGAGAGAGAGAGAGAGAGAGAGAGAGAGAGAGAGAGAGAGAGAGAGAGAGAGAGGGAGAGAGAGGGAGAGAGAGAGAGAGAGAGAGAGAGAGAGAGAGATGAATGAGAGACAGAGAGAGAGAGAGAGAGAGCGAGAGAGACAGAGAGAGAGAAGAGAGAGAGAGAGAGAGAGAGAGAGAGAGACAGAGAGAGAGAGAGAGAGAGAGAGAGAGAGAGAGAGACGAAGAGAGAGAGAGACGAATAGAGAGAGAGGAACAGAGAGAGAGACGAACAGAGAGAGAAACGAACAGAGTGACCAACGACACAGAGGTTGGCGGACGCAGTCGCACTGCCACACACACCCAACAAAACAACAACAACAACAACAACAACAGAACAGCAATAAAGAACAGTACTCAGCAACACCCATCGCTTTACACATTGGGACCATTCGTGCGCGAGCGATGGGGGGGTATTGTAAGACAAATTCCTGGGGCGGCAGTAAGTACATGTGGTAGCGGCTCTTCATGGCATGTCCGCGCTTGACCATTCCGTGAAAACGTGAACCACTGAGTGGTGAAATATGCCACCTCACGCATAGACGTTCATGCAGCTTATGTTGACTGATTGATCTGACATTTTGTCAAAAGCAGTTTACAACAGCACAAGGCAGCAGCAGCATGAGCGCCGGCGACGGCAGCGGGCGTGCGCTCGGTCGGTGGTGGTGGGATCATGTGGTGTTGTATGTACTGGCCGGCTTGGAGCTGCTGGTGCAGTTGTGGCATGATTTGGTGCTGGCACATGGATGGGATCGAAAGATTGAGGCTCAGTTGCCGGACGTTCACGGCCAGTGCATCGTGGTCACGGGTGGCTGCACTGGGCTGGGCCACGAAGTCAGCCGGCTCTTGGCTCAGCGTGGCGCGCTCGTCCTGGTGGGTTGCCACCACCACAGCGGCGGGAACATCTGTCCTTGCGACGTGCAAGAGTTTGGTGTGCCTCTACCGCTGGATCTGAGCTGCCCAGAGAGCATTGTGACCTTTGCCCGTCAAGTCAAAGTTCGCGCCCCGAACGGCGTGCATCTCGTCGTTCTCAACGCCGGCGTCCTCCTTGCACCACCGCTGCACGGCTACGATGCGCAATATCTCATCAACGTTCATGGCCACGCACAACTACTGCAGCTTCTCACGCTCGCTGCCGGCCCCTCCCATCAAAGCCGTGTCTTGGCCATCTCCTCTAGCACCTCGGCCTATTGGCCCTCCTTACCTACCGATTACCTACAGCGTGCCAGCCCAGCGACTGGCCCCAATCCACAGGCGAGATGGAGCCTGGCTCGGTCTTATGCCTATTCAAAATTGGCATTGCGGCACATGGTTGCCGCTTTTGCAGACCGTGCTGATGTTCGAGCGCTCGTGGCTCACCCAGGCATCGTTTGCACGCATCTTTACCGTGCCGTCCCACAACCTCTGCGCTTGGTCTACGAGCTGGCAGCCCCCTGGCTTTTGCGCTCGCCCCGGCAAGGTGCTTTGGCGGTGCTGGCCCCTCTCGTGGCTGCAGCGCTTCCAGCTGCCTCAGAGGCCCAGCTGACACCTGCCCCACATTTACATGCCCTTCTGCCGCAAGCTGTTCAACACCGGCTACAAGTGACGCCCCAAGCGCAACTTGGATCAACCCTGCTCCTGGCTCCATCGCGAGTGTGCTAGCATGCGTGGGATGGCAACCGCTGCAAAAAAGAGTGATAACAAAAAAAGAAAAAATTCAAAGGGAACCGGCAGGCCCACATACGAAAGAACGCTGATGATGATAATGCCGCTGATTTTTTAAAAGGTGGGCAGGCCGACTGATCAAGAGTCAGGCGCTATTGCTGTGGGTGCGCCTGCTCAGATAGCCAAGCACGAGTTGTGAGTGAATAACTGTCAACGTTAATTGAGCATAGTCCAATTCCGGCTCGATCTCAATCGTGCAGGCGCGCTGTGACGCCCTGGTAGAGTCAATAAACATAAACGACTTGAGACACAGAAAAACCAAAATTCAATGGCATTTGATAAACGGTATGCAAACATCCAAACACCATCGAGAGGAGCGAAAAGAAGAAGGAGACGAGGCTGTGGTGTAAAACGAACAAGTGGGATTCAAAAAAAACTCAGGGGTTTGCGTGCGTCACGCTAGAGTCCTATGACGGCCGTAATTTCTGTCACTTGGCTCAAAAAGCGTCGTCCTGAAGTGCGAGGTTTGATGAGGAGAAACAGGATGCATCACCATGTCGGCTGTCGGTTTGCAAAGGTGTGTGTGGGGGGGGGTGGGGGGAAGGGGGGGGCGCTCCTTGGGACCGCTGGCTGCCGACCAGCCAAACCAAGAAAGCCAGGAGGACATCCACGAGTTGGTTGCAGCGGCACCGACGGGCGTGTGCTTGGCTTGGCGGGCCAAGGGGGTGGACAAGGGCACGTCCACGCCCACGGCCTCGGCCACATTTGTAAAGCCATCGCGATGAAGGAGCTCCGCTAATTCGCGCTTGATATCACATACAATTTGCGGACCTTGGAGGCTCATGGACGTGTAGAGCTGGACCAGGGATGCACCGCTTCGAATCTTGGCGTAAGCAGTCGCGCCAGAGTCCACCCCACCAACGCCAATGAGTGGGACCGTGCCCTTGGTCAACGCGTACACGCGGCGCAGCATCTGCGTTGAAGGCTCAAAGAGCGGTTTACCGGAAAGACCACCCGTCTCTTCCTTGTTGGCCGAGGCGAGGGACGCCGGACGAGCAACGGTCGTGTTGGACACGATGATGCCGTCCAGGCGAGTCTCCCGCACGACGGCCACAACATCTTCGAGAAACGCATCGTCCATGTCCGGGGCGATCTTGACAAGGAGCGGAACCGGTCGTGCTAGGTCGAGGCCATCGCGCGTCTTGCGCACAGCGGTGAGTAGTTGCTTGAGCTGATCACGGTTTTGCAAATCCCGCAGGCCGGGGGTGTTGGGCGAGGAGACATTGACCACCACGTAGTCACCCAGCGGGCCCAGTTCACGCATGCCTCGCTTGTAATCAGCTGCAGCATTGAGTTGGTTTTTGTTCTTGCCCAGGTTAATGCCCAGTGGACCATCCAAGGGGGCGCGTCGCAGGTTGTCCAGACGCGCGGCCACGTACTCAATGCCGTCACTGTTAAAGCCGTAACGGTTGATAACGGCCTCATCCTCACGAAGGCGGAACACGCGAGGCTTGGGGTTGCCAGGCTGCGGCTGTGGCGTAACACTGCCCACCTCGACAAAGCCAAAGCCGAGCTCAAGCATGCTCTTGACGGCTTCTGCATTTTTGTCAAAGCCAGCGGCCAGGCCGATGGGGTTCTTAAAGGTGTGGCCGAGAACCTCAGTAGCAAGGACGGGATCATCTGCAGCCTGCTGCTTGGGGGTCAAGTGATGACGCGCGGCGAGCACCGCCGCCCGATGCGCCGTTTCGGCATCAAGCAAGCCAATCACGGGCATGGCCGCCTTGAGAAGCGTGAAGGAGACCTGGTCATGGGTCATGGCCTCCTTCCAACCAAAGTAGGCGGCAGTGGCACCACCCACCGTGAGGGCCATTGCCCGGACCAGTCGAGCCATGCTGTCAAGTTGGAGCAAAACGTAGGCTATCCCTTGACCTTGGAATATATGAGAGAGATGGTTCTAGCTCGCGTGGAGCAAGCAAGACCTTGAACTTGAGATCAGCGATGCCTGGGCGCGTGCGTTGCAGAGCAGCAAAGATCAGGTGCAAAAAAGCGAGACCACACCACTCTCTCCCTCTCTCTCTCTCTCTCTCTCCCGTTTTCGCCACCAAGTGACGATATCAAAGCCCAGCACGCTCCAACCCCCATTCCTCTTCTCCCGCCTCCCCCTGCGGTCGGCCGAAGCTTCAGCCAAGCCCCCCCCGACGAACCACGCACCTCTTTCACCGCTTTTGCGCTTTCGGAGGCCATCGACAGGAAACTGAGCTGCACGTTCGCATCCGAGGGGTCTTTCAAGATAGAGGTGCACTTGTTAACATGCGCCACAAGTGCAAAAACAACAACAACCAGAATGTCAGAAGAAAACATTGACGAGGAATGTCAGCAAAACACATTTTGTCAGAAAAAAGCTGCCTGGCGGGATTTGGATGAAAATTTGGATCATGGAGCCGGATGCGGTGCTGGAGCGTGTTGGCAGCGGGCGGTTTCAGCAGCGCCTGCTGGTTTTGACTGGCTTGACTCTGTTCAGCGATGGCGTTGAGCTCATGGTTATGCCGTTGTTGCAGCATGCGCTCGAGTTTGATGAGACTTTTGGTGCAGGTGCAGCCTACCAGACCGCAGTCACTGTCGCCGTCTTTGCGGGCATGCTTTTGGGTGCCCTGGCCGTGGGCCTGCTAGCAGATCGCTATGGGCGACGGGCGGCCACTCTGGCATATACGGCCACCATTGCTGGTTTTGGGCTAGCTAGTGCCCTTGCCCCCACACCTGCCATCCTCATCTTGGCCCGCGCTGGCGTGGGCTTTGGCGTGGCTGGCACGCCGGCCGCGCTGACCCTCTATGCCGAGTGGTTGCCCGCCGCGGATCGCGGTCGTAGGCTCGTTTCCTTTATGTACTTTTTCTCCCTTGGAGCACTCTTTGTGACGCTCCTGGCCTGGGCTGTGCGGGAACGATGGCGCGCGCTCCTTCTCCTCGCTGCGCTTGTCCCAGCCATGACCTATGGACTCTGTTGGTTCTACCTGCCCGAGTCGCTGCGCTTTCTAGTTCAGACCGGCCAGACCAGTCGCGCCCGTCAGCTTTCGTGTCGCGCCGCACGCATCAACGCCATTCCAGAGGCAGATCAACAAGACCTGCAAACAGCACAGCTTGTGACAGCTCGGGCAGAGAACCATGCCAAGCGTCAAGCGACGAGGGACGCTTCCAACAGTTCTGGTGCCAGTGCAGTCGAATCCCTCGCTCACGCGCCAGCCGTAGTGTCACGCTCCCTCACCAGCTGGTGGCACGACTTTTGGGCTGATTGGCCCCTTTTTTCCCTCCTGGCTACAGAGTTCCTTCTCATGGCCACCGTCTATTACTTTTTGGTCCTGCTGACGACCGTTGTGCAGCCGGAAACGCGCCGTGCTGCCAAGTTCTCCGATGCCACCTACTTCAACGTGGCCATGGCCAACCTGGCCGAGCTGCCTGGTCTCTATGCAGCTTCCTGGCTCTTGGACCTCGTGGGTCGTCGTGCCACCATCTTCCTCTTTTTTGCAGTGACTGGCTGGTGCCTACTCATTCTTAGTTACGGCCTTGATGCCAAAGCGGACTGTCAGGCTGCCGGCTGTCGGTGGCTGGCTGCCACCTTATGGATGGCACGGGCGGCAGCTCTTGGCTTCAACCAAAGCCTTTGGATTTTCACAACAGAAGCCTTTGCCACGAAACACCGCGCCTTGGGTTTGGGCTTGGCCTCGAGTGCCGCTCGTGTCGGCGGCGCGCTCAGCCCTTTCCTCATCGACGCCTATTTTCGCAGGTCAGTTGCTGGGCGTGGGCTCGCTGCCACCTGCCGCCTCACTTCCTGACAATTTTGCCGTGTGTGGTATTCATCCTCTGAGCTCAACTCTTGCCTCGGCCTTGTCGGTGCTGTGAGCAGTGATCCCGCCACCACTTGCGTGATGATGGCGGCCGTGGCTGGTGTTGCGGGTTGCCTCATTTTTCAGGTATGGGCACATCGTCGTTCTTTAATCCAAGCTTCATCTCACGTCAACATCATGTCTTGCTCGGCAGATCCCTGTTGAGACGCGCAATCGGGCATTAATGGACGAGTAGTCAACTGCTCAGCAAAGTGAGCTCCCCACACACCGCAAAAGCTTTTCATGATATTATTGTAGAGACTGATCAAAATTCATGTGATTCGAAAGAGTCATCGTTTCTATTAAATTTTGTGATGAGAAGAAAAAAAAAGGGGGGGGGGGGGGGGGGGGAAGATGCCCCAAACTATCCGAGCACAACCGTCCAACAGTTGAGCTGAAGAGCAGGGCAAACCAGCGAAACTAACACCAAAAAAAAAAGAGCCCTTTTGAGCCAGAAAATCGAGTAAAGAAAAATAAGGAGGGGTGGCGTGGGAAAATGACGTCAACACGGAAGCACAGTGCGGCCTCAAAAAGGATGCACTGCGCGATAAACATTCTTAAAAAAGCTAATGAAGATGGGGCACCAGACTGGGAGCCCATCGTGAAAAACAAAAGATGACAAATGTGGTGCAACCCAATGGCATTCATTGCCAGGGGGTCATGTACACATGTCTCGTAACACATATCAGAAGTAAAAATTGACCCACACGCGTTTGAAAAGGAAGAGGCGACAAGACACGCATGGAGCTCGGCTCATGCCGAGCTTCCAACACTCAAGTAAGCGTGACACACACACGCTCACAACAACAAGAACGTAACAAGTGGGGGAGAGGCCGTGCCCCTCACACCTCGCGAGGCGAGCAAAATTGAGATGATCTCAAAAAACAAATGTCTGAAACATGCAAGAGCAAAAAGATACAACAAAGATTGAAGAAGGATTTGAAAAATCAAGACCAAGAGAGAAAGACATTCTGTTCACAAGCATGCATCGTGGTGATGGCGGAGAGGAGCGGCGCTCCATGGCGTTCCACGTGTGCACAGGCATGCAAGCAAACATTGTCAAGAAAACGAACCAAAAGGCAAATGAACAAACAACCAACAACAATCAAAAATAACTGTCTGAAGCCGAGCGGTCAAGCTGAACCGGCCAACTACCTCGCAGACGGACCGCTGTTGCGGTGGTGAGCATGCGCGGTATTGGTAGTGTCCACCAAAGCATGTGAAAGCGAGTCAAGGTTCAAAGGCTGAGCGCGGGATGATGAAATGCTTTTGCGAACGTGTCGCGCAGGACGGCGCGGCTCTGGGCTCAAGTCATCGGCGTCCGACGCGTCAGAGACAGCACCCGAATCTGTGGTGACCGCATCAGGCCGCGCATCGCTAGCCGGGGACTGGGGTGATTGGGGCGTCTGACAAGCGGAAAAATCAGTGCCAGCAGCCTGGGTGGCGCTGGCAGCATCCAGGTGGCCATCTGCACCATCCCAGACCGGCAAGGGGGCCGGGGCGGCCGCAGGAACCATGCCTGGCCCAGAAGTTACCATCATTGCGGGGGACGCTTGGCTCATGGACTGCATGGGCAGAGCGTTGGCGGCAAAAGGTTGTTGTTGTTGTTGTTGTTGCTGCTGCTGCTGCTGCATGCAGCGCGCAATGTGGGCGCGTTCCATGGCCATGTGCGTTTGGCAGACGAGAAAGTGTTGGCTGACAATGGCCTTAAACTCCTGAAGACGGGGGCAGTCTTCATCGCGATTCTTGTCACAAAGCATTGCGTAAAGAGTGGCGATAAAGTTGTAGTGTTCGTTGTAAAAGTTGGCCATGTGGGTGAGCCGGTAGCTGGCAAGGCGTTGATCAAGCGCTTGGCGGTGCTCATGGTCAGCGAGAAACTTTTGAATCATAAAGTGCTCGAGTTTGGGGCGGTTGAGGTGTTCGGCAACTTGCCAGCCTTGTGAAATGAGGTAGACGTATTTGAGGAGGGCCGTGCCGTGCAGTTTGAGGAGGTGGGATTCCTGGGGAACGTAGATGCGGCGGGAAGCAATGTGCTCAAGAGCAGCGTCAAGGTCACCGTAAGTGCAGATGGCACGAGGGGTTTGGCGAGCGCAGGCATCGGCAAAAGTGGCGTTGGCTGAGTGCGCCTTTGGCAAAACAATTTGTATGCTGTTCATGGTAAACTGGTAGGGGCTGGACAGTGTCTGGACAAACTTGAGGTCGAGGGCGGGGCATCCCGGGAGGGAGAACAGGGCCCAACGATCCGATCCCAGGGGGGTGACAAACATCTTTGTAAAGCAGCGGGCAGCGATCATTTGGGGATCACAGGCACCCAGGTAAGTGGGCAGGAGAGTGCGCAGCGTTTCAATCAGAACAGCACGGATTTGAAGCAGCTTGTCGTAGTTGGATGAAGGGGGCAGGTGGAAGACGATATCAAGGTCATTCTAGGTAAAACGAAAATCAATGTGGGGTAGGGTGAGTGAGGTACGGGCCGGTTGAAGCTTTCATCATCATTCTCCCTAGACCAGCGGCCTTTCTTTTCTTTTTTCTTTTTTTTTTAAAGATATACACGGGTCTCCTCGTAGATGAGGTCCGAGATACGCTTTGTATAATCATCATGAAAACGCAGCATCTCGTATATGGATGGACAAGGGCGATGCAAGCTAAGAAGAACGTACGTAATGGTGGGGGTGGGTGGACATGCAAGCGGCAGCCGCGCTGCCTTCAAGCCGGACGTCATCAAGTGGAATATTGTTGTCGGCCAGGGCATGGGTGAGAGCGGTCACGAGCTCCCAGGGCGAGATCTCGGGGCTCTGGGGAAAGAGGAGAAGCTTTTGGGACAGGATGTTCTCCAGGCCATTCTGCTGAAAGTCAATCAAGTCGCGTTCGGCCTGGGGCTCGACGGTCTTGACGGTCTTGGCGGTGTTGATGGACTTGGCCATGATAAACGGTCAGCGTCGGAAGACAAGGCGCGATAAACCAAAAAGTCGGGGCAACAACAAACACGTCGCCAAAGGAGCAACAAAACAAGGAGAAGGCGAAGCGCGCGGAGATTGCGCCAAAAGGAAGGCAAGCAACGAGACTTGGACGAGAGAAGTCAGGTCCGAGACTCAAGCAGCAAATGAAGCACAGCAAAAACCAGTAGACACGTCCACGGAAGATGTGTGCGCAGCTGAGAAGCCTGAGAAGCGAGTGCGTGCGTTGGCAGCAGCTCAGCGAGATGACCAAACACACACACACACACACTGGAGGGGTTTCTTTTGTTTTTGCTGGTTGTTGCTGATGGCAGATGTGATGGAGGTATTTGATGATCACAGGGGTGATCCGAGTTACGGCTGATGAACCAGGTCCAGAGAACGGGAGCAGGTCAAGTGCGCAGAAACAGCTGAGGGCTTTTTATGTTGCCGCGAGTGATGACGGCGGCGACGGCGACGGCGACGATGACGGTCACGGTCGACGAGTGATCCAAAAAAAAAAAACTAAAAACAGAGAGAGAGAGAGAGAGAGAGAGAGAGAGAGAGAGAGAGAGAGAGAGAGAGAGAGAGAGAGAGAGAGAGAGAGAGAGAGAGAGAGAGAGAGAGAGAGAGAGAGAGAGAGAGAGAGAGAGAGAGAGAGAGAGAGAGAGAGAGAGAGAGAGAAATGCGATCATGAGGTGAGATGAACACAAAAGAAAGAGAGAAGCG